AGTTATGCAATGCTCTAAACTGCTGGGAAGAAACCACAGGAAAAGACTTTGATGGAAATTTGCATGTTGTCTGAAAAGCAAGAGAAGACAAAAGACTGGAATATGAAAGGAAAGGGCAAAAGGAATTTGTCTATGTCTGACTATACCAAAATAGGGAAAGACCTGACCTAAAGATACATGGAAAATTATAAACGACTGGAAGGAATATGAACTATGCTGACTTTAAAGAAAAACTATAAAATACGTTGGGAATTTAACCATGTTGGGTTAATTCTGGTTCGTTTTCTTCATTTAGAAAAAAAAACCCAATGATTCTTCACTGCAGATGTTTATATTAAAAATGGAATCATGCTCTTTAAAAGAGAGAGGAGGACTGAGGTCCAAAATATGAGTTAATAATTAATCATTATAATACAGCCCTCTGGGTTACAGGATTCTATATATTTGGCCTCCTATGAAATGACAAATTCAAAATTTCATAGAGAAGTATAAACCTGTTTCTTAAAAATTGTCAACATCACATCTATGGTCTATAAATGAAAGCTGCATTTTAACTGCAACTATAATGCCTATTAGTAGAAAGATGCTTATAAAATATACCTATAAGAAAAAAAACAGAACCTGAGAGGTCCATTGGACTAATATATCTACAGGATAACAAATTGGCCTGGTTATTGTTATCACACTTAGAGATGTTTTCAAGATCAGGCCTAGATTTATTTAGCTCAGATATATTTAATAAATAATGGTCCTCAAACCTGTCAAAGATCTGATGAATATGGTGTTTAAATTAGTTAATAAAAAAATTATTATAACAGAGACGCCCAGCTCCTAGCAATGACTCCCAAGGTCTCCAAAGAAGATATGGAATAATGACATGATGACGCCACCTGATTTGTTGACAATACTGACCAGTGGGCATGATGCCCTGACTCAACACCTGCTGCCAGGGATCTGGCCCAGAACGGACTAATGAGACACTAACAAAATAAGATCAGTCTTTCCCAAGTTACTCCTTCACAGGGAAAACTTTCACGTTATACACCCGGCAGCCAAGACTGATGCTGTCCTGACACCTGTCCTGCCAATGCTATGAAGACTAGAGGAGACTTGGATGATGGCGGTCTGGGTAATGGATAGTCTGTCATTTTTTAATAGACTTGAAAGCTGCTTAATCTGCACTCAGATTTAATTTATTCTTCTCAGATCTCTGATGGCATTGACAACTAGGCTAGCTATAGCTTTGTCAGCTTAGCAACATCAGACACCCAGAATCTTCCACAGCTTGCAGCCATCTTATTAATTAATTGATCAATGCATTAATTAATTAAAGCTACTAGGTCTCTTTAAAAAAAAAGACAAACAGGTTTGCCTTACTCATAAGATTCATATTAAGGAATAAACAGGTTTCAAAGATAATTTGAAATGGATGTTCTTAAATAATAACTGCTTATATTTCTAATAAATAATAAATTCTAAATCTAAAAAATATAAAGATCTAAAAAAGATATATAAAAGATATTATGAAATTTCTTTTCTTCACCATATTATCATTGTATTGAAATTTCCAAAGTTCAGAATTTAACATTAATAGAATTCTGACAGTCTAATAGAGCAATGACTGCTTACTGTTTGGATTATGAGCTTAAGATTTTAGATTTCTTTTGGTTGTCTTTTGAATATAGTCTTACAGATGCTTTTCATCAGGATGAAGACATTTCAGAGAAATTTATACCTGGCTCTCTAGACAGAAGAAAAATACACATGTTTTTTAAACCCAAATCTGTAGATTTTGCTAGGATTCAAAGATATGAGTACTCCTGCTGTTTTACAGATACCTGTTACCTGCTTTTTCTACAGTATGGATTTCAATGCATATTGATAATACTAATATATCTGGAATTTTTATGTCTTTTCATGAAATGGGAATTCACCTAAACTTCAAAAAAATCAGGAAAGCCATTAAACTTGGATCCACTTCTCACAGGTCAAAAAGATTCCAGATAAACACAGCCAAAGTTTCCCTGCCTGTCTATTCCTGAGGATGATATTTTTCTCTCTCTTGGACTTGGGACTCCTCCCCTTCCTCAACTACTGAGACATGTCACCACATGTTTTGTGTCTTTACCTGTGTGCCATTGCCTGCTGCTCCCTGGACGGCGGGATGACATCTCCCTGCCTCTCCTTTCTCTTCTTGTCTATCTGCCTAGATTTCTGCCTGCCTCTAAGCTGCCTTGCCATAGGCCAATGCAGCTTTATTTATGAACCAATCAGAGCAATACATATTCACAGCATACAGAAAGACATCTCACAGCACAGAGCAGGAATTTAAGCAAGACAGGATCCTGGAGACAGGAGCTGATGCAGAGACCATGGAAGAGTGCTGCTTACTGGTTTGCACTCCATAGCTTGCTCGGCCTGCTTTCTTATAGAACCCAGGACCATCAGTCCAGGGATGACACCACCCACAATGGTCTGGGCCCTCCCCCATTGATCACTAATTGAGAAAATGCCTTACAGCTGCATCTTATGGAGACATTTTCCAATTGAAGTTCCCTCTTTTCAGATAACTCTAGCTTGTGTCAAGTCAACATAAAACTAGCTAGCACAGGAAGCCAGCAAGTTCCCCATGTAAGATGAGCTGACTTAGGTTTGCTTATATCACTTGATTGACCAGTTTGCTGGGGCCTCGATAACAAAACAATACAGTGGGGGCTTAAGTAAAAGAAACTTATTTTCTCACCATTACAAAATTCTGAAATCAAGATATTGGCAGCCTTAGCTTCTAGGAACTCTGAGCTTGGCTGACAGAGGGCTATCTACTTGCTGTGTCCTCATTCATGGTTTTTGTCTGTGTGTTGTCTCTCTATATGTGTAAAACTTTTCTCTCCCTAATGGACAGCAATCCTATTGAAATTTTTCCCACCCTAATGGACTAATTTTAACTTAGTCCCTTCTCCAGAGGCCTTGCCCCAAACATTCTCATGGTCTGAGGTTAAGGCTTTCACCAGTGGATTTTGGTGGGATACAATCTGCTCGTTTTGGTGAGTAAAAGAAGAGTTAAGAAACATAAAAAGATAAAATTATCAACAAAATTGGTGAAAGAAGTTACCACAGACTAAAACTAAACATTTCTAAATTGAGACGTCTCACCCAGGGCTGAGGAGATAGATAGCTTGATGGTACAGTGTTTGCCAACATGGGTACTGGAGGGAGGGGGGAAGGTAGGGAAAGAGAAAGAGAGATAGAAGAAAACGTCCAAGTTTGTACAACAAAGCGCTCACACTAAGGCCCATCCATGTAAAGTTTCAAAACAGTACCAAGCCCTAGAGCCCAGAAAGTGCAAAAGCAGGTCACTGCCCACTAATGAAACCAGAAGCTAAAGGACAGTACAATGAAGCCTTCAGCATTCAAAGAGGGTCTACAGGGCCTCCAGCATCTGGAAGGAGGTCTACAAAGCCTCCAGCATCTGGAGGAGGAGGGATTTGCAATTGTGAATTCTTCACCCTGAAAAACTATCACAAAGTTTGAACATAAAATTTGAAGATTCAAAACCAAGAATTTATCTTTAATATAAACTTTTGAAAGCTATTGGAGAAAAAATTAAGAATGAGAGAAATATGAATTCTGAAATACTGAAGTAGTGAGAAAATTCTGGATGACTGCAGTTTCTGGTGCAGCATCAGGGAGAAAGAAGAACATTTGAGGAAGCCTGTCGAGCCCTAGTCTTCAAAATAAATAATAAAAACAGCCAGCAGTACCAGAACCTGCCAGACTGCCTAGAAAAAGCACTTGTGCCAGCCTGGCAAGCTGGGTGCCATTCCTGAAACCCATGTGAGGGGGAAGGAGAGAATCGACTCCATAAAATTGTCCTGTGACCTCTGCACATACATTACGGCATGTGGCATGCACGCCCACACACAATAGTTGTTATCATCATCATCATCATCATCATCATCATCGTCATCATTGTTGTCATCATTGATTTAAATGCCAGAGTTAAAAGGGAATTTGAGACTGTGAGAAAACCCCCAAAAGAAAACATGATTGTGGAACAAAACTAGACCCTGCTAAATTCTTTGAAATGTTCTTCAGCAGCCCGCTCTTTTCTAAAGGGAAATGAAGAAACACTGGATCTGGGGCAGAGGGGAGGTTGGGAAGGTAACTGGGGGATGTGGAGGGAGCAGAGGCTATGGTCAGGATGTATTGTATGAGAAAAGAATTAACAAAAAGAAAAAGAAAAAAAAAAGAAAGACCAGGGTGAAATAAAAAACAAAACAAGGGGGACCGGAGCGGGGAGAACAAGGAAATCCGTGGCTGATATGTAGAACTGAATTGTATTGCAAAATAAAAATAAAAATTTAAAAAAAAAAAAGATACTGAAAAAAAAAAACAAAAACAAATCAGTGCCCTGCAGCTCCTAGACCAATCCCCTAGTCAAAGCACAGAACACAATTAGGATTCAGAGCAGGATGTGGCTGTCATCATCCTTGACAGTGTAGTAGTCCAAGTGATGGATGATGGGAGGCAGAAAGGGAAAAGGAGCACCTAGAGCAAATCGAGATGAACATACTGTCATCCCTCAAGATTTAAAAAAAACAAAAACAAAAACTGCTGACTATTGAACAAGAAATGACTGGAAACTTCAAAGAAGTCAAAAAAGAAATGAAAATTACCTAATCAAAATAAATAGTTGAGGGGACAGGATAATATGGCTTTAAAATGCTTACTAAACAAGGGCGGAGGTTCAACAGCCAATATCTAAACTGGACCGTTCAAAAATTACCTCCGTAAATGTGTGTGTAGAGACATGGCAATTAGCATCAAAGGACACGAGATTGACAGGGCCTGACCCGAGGGGAGGGACACGAGTTGGGACATGTGGCTTTTTATCGTGAGAGTTCTGTACTATTTTAGCTGAAGAAATAAAAACAAGAGAAGTTACTTTATGCATTCATTTTTAATTTTTCAAGGGATTCTAGAGTTTTCTCTGGGGCGACTGCCGATTTTCTTTTTAAGTCCTTTGATTAATGTACAGATCTCAATTCCCACAGATTGCTCCCAGGTCCTGGTGCCAAGAAGTCCCTGGGTCCAGCATTGCACTTTCCAACACAGTAGCTTCCATGGCCCCTCCCACAGGCCACAGCCTATAATAACAGCTGGGGTTTATATGTGGCTTTCATCTGAAGACCAAGGTGCGTGTTCCAGCATCACCCTATGTTGTTCCTGTGGGAGGGAGAGGCGGGTGCTATTAACTCAGTACACACGTGGGTAAACTGAGCCCAGGAGCTCTCACAAACAACCTGTCACTCCGAGTGGAGGAGTGACTGCTGAGCCTCGGGACCCTTGCTTGCATCCTGAAAAGGACCTCTTCCGGCATCGTTCTCTTCCCTCTTCCACCGAGTGATCCAGGACCCAAGATGGGGCGGTCACAGAAGGAAGGTGAGGGCAACGTGGAGAAAGAAAGAGTTGTGGGTAGAGGTTGGTTCATTCTCTAAGCAGATGGGCAAGTGTTTGGGGGCTGACAAAATGGCTTAGTGAGTAAAGATGCTTGCCTCCAAACCTAAAGACCTGATGACCTGAGTTCAATCCCCAGACCGCACAGTGGAAGTAGAGAAGTGACTCTTGCCAACTGTCTTCTGACTTCCACACAGTGTGTGTGTGTATGTTTGTGCATGCATACATATGGTAAACAAATAAAAATGTGACTAGCATTCTTTAAAAGTAAGTGTTCGGAAAGCTTCCTGTGCATTTTGAGGCCTACGCTCCATGCGGAGGACAACCAATGAAGCATGGCATTAATGCTCATCTGTCAATCACTTATACTTGAATTTACTTGAATGCATATGAGGCATGTACCCTCTCAACAATAGGGAAACAGTGTGCGCCGGAAGACAGAAGCTAAACAGTAAATGTCCTGTGATTTCAGGGGGATGTGAGACAAGAGCGGTTCTTCCTCCGCTGTCCTTTTCTCTTTGTTTTGGAATCCTCACCTTTAGACAATGTTGTCAACACTGCTGATCCCACATAATTTCCAGTCAGTTTTCCAATTACTAATTTTAGTATTTTTTAAGTTTTGTTTGTTTGGAGGGGAGCATTGAAACAAGGCCTCTCATGTGTAGCTGAGGGTGGCTTTGAACTCCCAGTCTGTTTACTTGCCCCTCACAAGTGCTGTAATTACAGGATTAATACTAGCAATCCCAACAAAGGTATTCATTACAGATCTTTACACCTTTGCTTGTAAACTGGTCCTATTACCACAACGTTCTCTCTTGACTATCACTTGACATTACCACCCAGGAAAGACCATGCCTCCATGCCCACAGATGGAGTCCAGCTAGAGCTCCAGCCAAGTCATCTAGGCAGCCATGGATCACTTAGCCGTCCCTAAGGGAGCAAATGTTCATGCAACCTTGGGCTTGGGAATGGAATGTACTACATTCTTGACCCACTCCATGCTCATGAGAAGGAGCAGGGCATAGAGATCAGGACAGTGACTCTACTTGACCTAGGTACCTGCCTGCCATTGGGACTCTGGCCCTGTGACAGAAAGCCACAGAGACTAATAATGTCTTCACTACAGTTCACCTTCCCTACCCATCAACACCAATGTGCCCTCATCTCTGTTTCTGGTATTAGATAGCACAGTATGAAGCAAGTGTCTCTGTGTTCTGGGCCAGTGTGACACTTTGGGTCTTAAATGGCCCCCAAATGCCCTGTGGCCAAGGTGTGCTCACCAGCCTGTGGCTCAACTGGGAAGTGTTAGAATCTTTAGGAGGTGAGGTCCAGGAAAAGAGAGATCACCATGGGTAGGAGTATGCATTTGTAGGAGCTACTGAGACTCTGGCCCCTTCCTTTCTGTCTTTGGCTTCCTAGCCACCATGAGGTGAATGGTAAATGAGGAATGGGATTAACGCTCATCTGTCAATTACTCCCTCACTCACTGGCCAACACCATGAACCAAAATAAGCACTCCTCATTTGATTTGATGTACTCAGTTATTTTATTACAGCAACAGAGAACTAGCCACAGATGGGTCCCCAAAACTTCAGACCTGTTCAGATTTCCAGTGCCCTCTGCACATGCCTGCTCTGCACATGCCCTGCCCATTAAAGGTAAAGATCCAAACTCCAGAACCATCTTCACTGTCATTCAAGAAAAGGTTGACTGTGCAGAAATGAGTTGACCCCAGTCTGTGCAGGACCCTCTTCAATATCCTGCTGTATTAGTTACTTTTCCTAGTGCTATGATAAAATGCCCAACATAAGTAACATAAGAGAGAAAGGGGCTGTTTTTGCCTCCTAATTCAAGAGTGAAATCCATTGTGGTGGGATGTCACGGAGGTAGGAGGTCCAGCCAGCTACATTATGGAGGCAGGAGCTCGAGGCAGCTAGGAACATTTCCTTTGCAGGCAGGAAGCAGAGGGTGATGAATGCGGCTGCTCAGCTGACTTTCTCTTTGTGCAGTCACTGCAGCCTAGGGAATGGGGCCACCAGTACAGGTGAGTCTTCCCACCTGAACCAACCCAATCAAGGTAGCCCATCTCAGGCATGCCCAGAGGCAAAGCTCATCTAGATGATCCCTCACAGGCTTGTCCAGAAGCTTGTCTCCAAGGTGATTTAGATCCTGTCAAACTGAGAATCAGTTGTAACTATCACACCTACTAAGACTAAATTTACTCAACACTCTAGTAGAAGCTCAAGTTGCTAATATGGAAAATTATAAAAAGTACAAAGCAAATTTGTAGGTTTCTAATAGTTTAACACAATGCTATTGATTTCTCATCACACAGTCCAGCGGGGGTGGGGCTGGGGGGCAGGGGAAGATTGTGGTTGAAATGGAGGTGATCCATATTATAATATATTCTACCACTGACGGGGCAGCCAAAATGTACCAGGATAGACATTTCGGTCTAAGCCAGGATTGATGGCTAGGCTCTTGTAATACACCTCAAAGGCTTCAAAGAGCCAAGACACACCCTGGGTGGTCTACACTTGAGCACAGAGGACTTTCTCCCAAAGGGAAAAATAGAAAATACTGAATTTTGATTAAGAGCTGTAAAACCACAGTGTGCTCACAAGAAGTGCTGCACTCTTTGTTGAGATGCTCTCTGGTTCTTAAAATCCAATTTAACAAATAAATACGAGTTGAACCAGACATAGTGGCTAACACCTGCAATGCCAGTGTTTGGGAGGGGAAGGCGGAAGGATCAGTTCAGGTCCTCGCTGGCTACATAGCAATGTTGAGACCAGTCAAAAAGCAAACCAGAAAATAATAACGATGGTGATGATGATGATGAAATAAGGAAGGCATGTTACTATATATAAGGAGGGCAGGATTCTGAAGACTATTGTTCATTTTTCTGGATTTTTTTTTCAGGTAGTCAGGGTTCTGTGATCCTGTGTGTTGAGAGGCTCTGAGCAAGGCTGTGAGACACGAAGACAGAGTGGAGATGGGGAGGGCCGAGCCTGCACCCCCATCTCAGCAACTGCAGCAGAGGAGTGCGTCTCCGAACAGCCCGTTGGTCTCTCTTCCGGTAGGTAAGATCTGAAGAGGAAAGCCTGGCATTCTGTCCAAGCCAGGAGCCGTGGCCGTATCTGCAGTTATCTGACCAATGGCTGGAGCTGGGGACATCAGGAGCACACAAATTCCTCCTTCCACTTGGCAATACCGCCGCCTTTGTCCTGTTTCCACCCTGTGCAGTTTCGCTGTCTGGGTTTCAGCGGCATCTTCGCACTGCGCCCGGCCTTTCTCCTGACCATCTTCCAGGGGTTGCTGATCGGTCGGCTGTTGTTTTGTTCTGCTGTTTAGTTTGAGACTTCCTGCAATTTCCTCCATCTTTGCACAAGCAGGACATGAGCATGCCTGGAGTCTCCTGAACAAGTCCCATGCTACCACAAACAGCTGGACGCTCTCCACAAATGGAGAACTAGAGGCCGGGCTCTGAACACACTGCTCCGCACTTGGGCGCATACTGGGCTTGTGAACAGCAAGCATCTTTTTCTGTGAACAGCAGGACACTGGGGTGAGGAGCTGTTTTTATCCCACCCCACCCCCATGAAGACTCACACAACCACAACACCAGCTCCCTGTTCCTGCTTCAGTTCACAAAACCCACACTATTAGGAACATGCAGGGAAACTGGTGGAGAGATCTCTTCTGGGCTGGTGGATCTCTGGGGTAGAGTGCTTACCTAGCTTGTGTGAGGCCAGTGCTGGTGAGGGCCCCTCTGGCTTGCAGACTCTGCCACCACCCTCCCTGTCTGTAGACCCAGCGACTCAGCCCAGAATTGGCCCCGGGATACACCAACAGTGCAAGGCATGTCCAAATTCTCTGGGTCTCCCAGGCTGTTACACACTCCTCGGTCCCATCCTAGCCATGTTTGCTTCATTTTATTATTAATGATAAGTATAATTCTTACGCCCAGAAGGAGCAGAAACTTTAGTAACTGTTTTTTAAGAGCCCTGTATTGTAGTAGATTCATTTGTGAACCCTCTGGAAAGAGAGGTATAATTTTCCAGACACATCTGTAATAGTAAAATTTAAAATTAAAAAGAATTTGTGCCCTGTTCCTCTGTCACGTGGTTCCCCCATCTGTCTAGGGTTTGCGAGACCCAGGCTCCCTCTAGTGGTCACATTTGGTGTGAATGCATTCCTCATACTTACCCAGAAGTCTGGTGGGATCCACCTAACAGGGCAGAGCCTCCCAGACACTGTGGCTCCTTTTACTTCGTGGAAACCAGAGCTTAAAAAGGCAACAGCATTCCAGATTCCTCTTGATTTACCTTTGGAAAAGAAGCCAAATTAAAGTGACGTGTGTGTGTGTGTGTGTGTGTGTGTGTGTGTGTGTGTGTGTGTGTGTTGGGGGCAGGGGTGCATGTGTGCACATGAAGGGCAGAAGACAACCTCTGGTGTCTCCTTAGCAACCATCCACCTTTCTTTAAGCAGGAGTTCTCACTGGCCTGGAGCTCACCAGTTTGCCTAGGCTGGCTGGCCCTTGACCATCACAAATTCCCTTGTCTCTGCCTCCCCAGTTCTGGGATTATTAGTAGACACCACCATACCCAGCCTTCAGAAAAAAGAAAAACCAAAACCCATGAGCTCTAGGGATTGAACTCAGATCCTCATCAACCAAGCTGTTTCCCAGCCTCCAAGTAAAGTTTATGGCCACAGATGGATGCTGTTTTAGAAACTTCCTTAGAAAGGTTGAGATGACAAAATCTTTATACTTGATTCAGAAGAGCAGCAGAATTGCAGACAGGCATTAAGTGGGACACTGGAACCTGGGAGAACTGCTCCTCATCTGACTCCATGGTGCACTTGACCTTCAGATCCCTCCACACGATGAACATGCCTCTGGCTGCCCAGCTCGGTTCCAGCCAGGATGAAAGTAAACAAGCGACTCATGGGCATAGCTGAGAGGACTGTCCCCGCCACCCCCTGTCCTGTTATATTATACAGTCTTCCTTTCCTGCTTGGCTGTGCAGCTGATGGAAAGCAGAACCGGTCCACATATGTTCTGTGCTTAGCATCCCAAACAGCGAAGTGGAGATTCATTACACATATGTTCTGTGCTTAGCATCCCAAACAGTGAAGTGGAGATTCATTACACATATGTTCTGTGCTTAGCATCCCAAACAGACAGTGAAGTGGCTGTTTCCAAAGTCTTGCTTCTCCAGCAATGATTCTGAAGACAATCCAGCAGGCTTGGTTGGTTCATTAGTCAGGTTTCTCAGAGGCACAGGGCTGATAGAATGTAGCACACATACACACACATACAATAATAAATTGTAATTTTTAAAAGTTGGTCATGGGAGTTACACCTCTGTATTCCAAGAATCTAAGAGACTGAGGCAGGAGAATTGTGAGTTTGAAGGACAAAATGAGCTTCATGGCAAGACACTGTCTCAGAAAACAAACAACAAAAGACAATGAAACAATGTGAAGGAGGCAGGTGCTTTGGAGATAGCTCAGGACCTGAGTTGGGTTCCTAGAACTCGTGTTTAAAAAGCCAAGTGTTGTGGCTTGTGCTTGTGGTCCCAGTGCTGGGAGGGGAGAGACAGGTATATCCCTGGGGTTAATAACTCAGGCTATTTGGTGGACTTCAGGCCAGTGAGAGACCATGACAAGGGAGGGAGGGAGGAAAAAAGGATGGAAGGGAGGGAGGGAGGGAAGAGAGAGAGGGAGAAGGGAGGGAGGAAGGGAAGGAGGGAGGGAGGGAGGGAGGGAGGGAGGGAGGGAGGGAGGGAGGAAGGAAGGAAGGAAGGAAGGAAGGGATACTGAAGAATCAGCACTGCAGGTTGTCCCCTGACCTCCACTCACATGTGCAGACATGTGCCCACATGCATAATTTACCAGGAAGATGAGATGAAGGGCAAGATGGAGAGCCCACGGAAGCTCAGGAGTCACCTGGAAGAGAGCTGAGCTACGAACACCTACAGAATCTCTCTGTAGCATTTCAGAGAGGCTGACCACGTACCTTGGCAAGGCTCGGGACCTAGTTAACTGGTTTGAAAGGTGAGGGTAAAAAATAGGTCTGAAAATCCCTGTTAGGTCCAGTGTGTCCTCAGGCAGCAGCATCTAGACAACAGAGAGGAAGAGTGGAGACTCACATGTGAGCAACGTGTGGACCTTGCCTGGAGAGAGCACTTATCCAATAAGCCTGGGCCCCAGCAGTCAAGATTTAACACAAAGGTTATGCCGTCTCGTGAAGGAGGCTGGGAAAGTGGTCTGACCGTGGGAGAGGAAGAGGCTCTTCCAATGCTAGAGCAAGTTGTAGCATTCAGACCATTACCCCACTTGCAGTTTGCTCTAACATGTGTGTGTCTGTGTCCACAGCCCTTGCTCTGAGGAACACAGAAACCATCTATGGTGACTCAAGCACATGCTTCCTATTAGAGTCCCTCTGTCCCATATCAGACTCCTGAGTGGCCTCTAGCCATGCCACAATCTAGCATTGAGCTGACCCTTCTTATGGTCTTGCTGAGCCTGCACATACCACTGATAGAACACAAACCACTAAATACTTGCAAAAGAGACAGGTTCTCACTCTGCAGCCCATGTTGGCCTCAAATTTGTGATCTTCCTGTCCCAGGACTCATTTTATGAGATGCCGTGTAACTACAAGCCAGAACACATTAAGATCTCATGATGTTTATGAGCCACGAGAATTGCTTGTCACAGTGTCTGCTGTTTTGGTCTCTAGCAATTTGGATGCTTTTAGCAGTGGTATGCACCTCCTGCCTCCCACAGTCCTCCCTACTCCAATGAAGCACAGTCATCTTAAATCTAGCCGCTAAAGCATCTGTATTTAACCAGGTGTGGTGTTCCCACTTGTGGTCCCAGCACTCTGGAGGGAGCAGGAAGATCGGGAGCTTGAAGCCATCCTGGGGTTGTATTGTAGTATCCTCAATGGCTGAGCATGTCCCCACCTCAGACTGCCGGGTGGAAGAACACATCTGCGTAGCCAGTGGTCATCTTCATCAGTCACACACCAGCACCCACTCCCCGGGACACAGCTTGGTCTTTTAGCCAGTGGTCATCTTCATCGGTCACACACCAGCACCCACTCCCCGGGACACAGCTTGGACTTTAGCATTTATTACCTATTCTAAACCTCCATCATTCTTTGCCTTGATGCCCTCAACAGCCCCAGCAAGGACCCGGATCCTGTTTTGTCCTTCAGTCCTTTCCCCATAGGTCAACTGGTGGGTTTTTGTAAAACGGTGCTGCTGAAACTAAGAAGTCTGTACACTGATGGATGATACAGTCTCATTCGAGACTTGGGAGGTGCAGGTGCAGGTAGAGGAAAAGCTCGAGACAGCTATGGCGAATGACAGGCAGTCCTGCCCAGGGAGACCAAAAGGCCCATCCAGTTGTCTTGGTTCAAGCAGTGCACTGAGACCTGTTCCTGTTGCTCTCTGGGTCCCGGCAAGCACCCCCGGAGGAAAGCCAGAGACTGAGTGCGAGTCTCCATCCCATTCCAGACAGCAAAGCTGGCTATGAGCAGCCAAGCAAAGTCATGGCTGATTGACAGGTGCAAATAAGTGCCTCAGGTGCAGAAGGGTCAATTTGGAGAAAGTTTACTCCCAGAATGCTGGGCTGCTTGAGAAAATCACAGCTTTGGTCCACTGGGGTGGGTTCTCGCAGAGGCTGGTGGCTTTGCAAGCTCATTCCTTTTGTTAGAGTTATGACCCCTGAGAATAAGACACGAAGAAGCCACCGAGCTATGGGATGGTGAAAATGACGGCGATGGAGACACTCGGATGTGCTGACTTGTCATTTTATCCCCAGCCCTGTGGTAAACACTTCATCAATATTGCTTCAGGCATTACTCTGTAAAGCAAGTTGCCACCTCACGGATGAGGAAACTCGGATTCAAGAGATCCGGTTAACTTTCCAAAAGTCAGCAAGTCCAAATTTTAGACTTGAGCCTGATGCCGATGTCAGTATTCTTGACCACTCCCCAGGAGTGGTCGTCAAGGGTTATTGCTAAGACGCTACTTCCATGGATTATGGCAGATGTTCATTTATCAGAAGAGAATGAAGGATGGATTTGTACTCAAATTCATTTGAGATACTCTGGATTGAAATATAGTTGACTTGTTTTCTCTATTGCAAGATTTTTCAGGAACCTCCCCTCCCCTGAGTGTGTGTGTGTGTGTCTGTGTGTCTGTGTGTGTGTCTCTGTGTGTGTGTGCGCATGTGTGTGTGTGTGTCTGTGTGTCTGTGTGTGTCTCTGTGTGTGTGTGCGCATGTGTGTGTGTGTGTCTCTGCGTGTGCGTGTGCGTGTGCATGTGCGTGTGCGTGTGTGTGTGTGTGTGTGTGTGTGTGTGTTGTACATACCCCAGAGCAAGTTCGGAAGTCAGAGAGCAACTCAATAACTCATAGGAGTCCTTTCTCTTCTCTAACCATGTGGAGTCTGGGAATCAAACTCAGGTCATCAGACTTGCCCCAAAGTCCCTTTATCCACTGAGCCATGGCACTGGCCCTTGTCAGACCTCTATAAACCACTGTGTACTGCTAATCTTCAGGAAGAGCGGAGCCAATACATGATTCCCAAGTCTTATTTAAGCGTAAAACTTTGTTCTTCTAGGACATCTGTTATGGTATTAATAGTTCATGGAGCACAAAATACTTTGTGACTCATGGTGACAAGGTGTACTCTCCCACCAGAAGAGGGAATGGTAGGTGGAACAGATTATGGAGCCCTCAGTCCATATCAAAATAAACACTTGAAAGCTTTGCTATAACAGTGGGAATGGGGAGGGTCTGTCCACCTTCACATTATAATTCTTTCTAACCACTCCAGCCAACACATCTGAAAAGCTGTGGACAGAAGCTCTAGCTGTTTCTAGAGAAGCACCCACAAGCTCCCTGCTTTACTTTATAATTGCAGGGATTTTGCACAGCCAACAGCCCCCATATCAGCCGTCCATGGCCCTGCTGGTTCATTTGTTCAAATTAGAAAAAAGCAGAGGACACAGCTTGGCAAGTAGACAGGGTTAGTGGCAAAGCTTTAAAAGGTCCCTTCTCCACCAGATGGCTGCAGCCTAGACATCACAGTTCTCCTCGGACAGAGAAATGATTCCTGCGAGTTCTCCTCTGACTTCCACGCTCACTCTGTGCGCGCGCTCGCGCTCTCTCTCTCTCTCTCTCTCTCTCTCTCTCTCTCTCTCTCTCTCTCTCTCTCTGTCACACACACACACACACACACACACACACACACACACACACACACACACGAGAGGATGGGACAGGGCGAAGAGCAGCAGAGGCTGACAGTGGCTGACACAACTCCATTTCAGCCACCATCTCCATTTCAGCCTTCAAGCCTCCAGAACCCTGAGAGAATGTGCACCTGCTGGTCCCAGCCTCCCAGCTGCCATAGCCATCTGTTGCTGTGGCCGCAGGACCCTCGTATACAATTCCCACCGTGCGGAAGATGGGTGCTGCCTTGTAGAGAAGTAGCTTGTCCAACTAAGCTGGTGATTCTGCTGGAGCTGCAGACGCTGGCTAGCCCTGCCAGCTGAGCGGCTCCCTCTACATCCACTTAGCTCTCCCACCTACACAGAACCAACCAGGAGAAGGCAGTGCTCTGCTGTGCACGGGCTGCCCTGCTGTGGCCTGATGGTGGTGGTTGTTGTTGTTGTCGTTTTGCCTGCCCTAACTCCCCACTTCAGGAAGGGGCATCCTTAGGATGAACAGCCTACTGAAAAGAATGGCATCCACTGGGCCAAATTCTGCTTCCAGGGTGGAGGAAAATTAAACTTTAACAAGCTTTTCCTCATTCGGAGGCCCTCTTTGCAAAGAGGATTTGAAAAGGATGCTCTGCCTCTATATAAAATTTTTTTTCTTTCGGTTTTTCTTTTGGTGAGTAAAAGAAACACACTCTCAAAGACACCAAAGCAAAACCACTCCATAACCAATAAAGTGATAGAAGGGGACATGAGAGGACCTTGGGTGGGACCCAGCTCATAAACACAGGCAGGGTTCAGTTACAGCACTCTGCAAAGGCTTTGGAGGGCAGGAGGTACAAGCAGCAACATTTTAAATCATGAGGCCAACCGTAAAAGGATCCACAGTTTAACCACTAAAGTGTTGATTGCCAAAGAGCCTAGATCACTGAAAACAAGTGGAGACAGCAGACTTCCAAGGCTGACTTAGTTCACTCACCCGGGACAATTATTTTCCTGAATTACCACACCGTGCAAAGCAGAAGTCCTCAGAGAAAGCAGGATGGAGATGCTCTCTGCTCTGGAACAGAGGCTTTAAGGACAACAGACTCTCAAGGCACTCCCACCCAGACATGAGGCAGCAAGGGCCATGGTTAGCCCACCGGGACTCCGGGTCTTCTAGGTTTCTTCTATTGCTGACTCTCATGAGAAGCCACAGAGCAGAGCTAGCTGGTATAATTTTCTCAACACATGTTCCAGATACTTAGAATTGTTGTCCTCTCAGTAAACACCTGCATGGATCTAATGTGACACACTTTACTGGAAATATGAAGAAAATCTACCATGAGTTTAAAGATTCTTCCTATTCTCTTTACACTGCACTATAGTACATATGGATTCATTTTAAAATGATTTTACCAAACCATCTAAGCATCATCCAGGTTCCAGGCCTTGCAAACGCTCTTGCATGACTTGAAAGACACTTCATGGTTCAAAGACTCCTTGACCAACTGTCACCCATAACTACTCCCAACTAAATGGGCAAGAAATAATTTTACAAGAAGCACCATCAGGCATGGGGAAAATCAAAGCCAACCTAAGGAGCTTTAGAAAACTTGGGAGTCTGCCCCGCGGGCTGCTCTGAAAAGCCATCTTTGCATTGTTCCGGGGTCCTGCTCCGTGCTGGCTGCAGCCACCTCCACAGCCGCCTCTTCCTCTGCTTCGAACCCCGGCCGCTTTCTCACCAGAGTCCTGGAGCTTGATTCCTCGCTCCCTCGCTGCAGCACATCACTGGCATGCCCCACCATGTCGGACGTGGCCGTGGACACCAGCTCCGAGATCACCACCAAGGACTTGGAGGAGAAGGAAGTTGTGGAGGAGGCGGAGAATGGAAGAGACGCACCTGCCAATGGGAATGCTAAGGAGGAGAGTGGGGAGCAGGAGGCTGACAATGAGGTAGATGAAGATGGGGAGGAAGTTGAGGAGGAGGATGAAGATGAGGAGGCTGAGGCCCTACGGGCAAGCGGGTAGCTGAAGATGATGAGAATGTTGATGCTGACACCAAGAAGCAGAAGACTGATTCTGAGGATGACTAGACAGTAAAAAGAAAAAGCTAAACTTCAGGCCTCCGTGACATTTTCGCCCTCTACTTCCGGTCTCAGAATTTAAACGTGGTCACCTTCGAGTGGAGGAGCAGGCCCCACCCGCCCACAGTGGGCAATGCCACCCACACACGACGTGAGCTCTCCACCACCCCACCAAAACCACGTGAATTTGCAGCAGGGGAGGAAAAAGAACCAAAACTTCTAAGGCCCTGCTTTTTTTTCTTAAAAATACTTTAAAAGGAAAATTTGTTTGTATTTTTTATTTACATTTTATACTTTTGTACATCTTGTTAGGGGTCAGCCATTTTCAATGATAACGGGTGACCAAACCAGCCTTCAGAGCGTTCTCTGTCCTACTTCAGACCTTACTGTAGTGTGACCATGTTCATTATAATGTCAAAGGAAGAAAAAAAACCTTGTAAAAAAATTCTAACTCTGAGCACTCCAGTAATTTTTTTTGGGTGTACTATAAGTAGTTGTTTTGTATGAGATGGTTAAAAAGGCCAAAGATAAAAGGTTTTTTTTCCCTCTTCCTTTGTTTGTCTATGAAGTTGCCGTTTGTTTGTTTGTTTGTTTATTATTTATTTATTTGACCTCTTTGATGTATATGTAAAACAATGTTCAACAACAGACTGGAATTTTATTTTGCTGAGTTGTTCTAAAAGAAGAAGAAGAAGGAGGAGGAGGAGGAGGAGGAGGAGGAGGAGGAGGAGGAGGAGGAGGAGGAGGAGAAGAAGAAGAAGAAGAAGAAGAAAAAGAAGAAGAAGAAGAAGAAGAAGAAGAAGAAGAAGAAGAAGAAGAAGAAGAAGAAGAAGAAGAAGAAGAAGAAGAAAGAGAGAGAAAGAAAGAAAAAGAAAGGAAGGAAGGAAGGAAGGAAGGAAGGAAGGAAGGAAGGAAGAAAAGGAAAGGAAATTTGGGAGATTGTGTTTAACTTTGAGAAGTTGAGAAATTATGCTGGAGAGATGGTTCGGTAGGTAATATTTCTTCTGGCTGTGCAAGCATGAGAGTCCAAGTTCAATTCCCCAGCATCAATGTAAAAGCTGGGGATGGCAGCCCACATTTGTGACCCTAGCACTGGGGAAGCAGAGACAGAGAGAGACTGGAGTCTCACGGTAGCACATCTCTAATCCTAGCACTAGGGAGGTGGAGACAGGAGGATTCCTGGGCTTGGCATCCAGCCTGTCTAAGTGAACAGTGAGCTCAGTCGGGTGGTAGTGGCACACACCTTTAATCCCAGTGCTCAGGAGGCAGAGGCAGGTGGATCCCTATGAGTTCAAGGCCAGCCTGGTCTACAGATCGAGATCCAGGAAAGCCAGAGCTACACTGAGAAGCCTCAAAAAAAACTCCTATCTCAAAAAGAAGTTCCAGGGATTCCGTCACTTCCTCTGACCCCTGCAGACACCAGGGATACATGTGCTGTTATACACATAAAATAAAGAAATCTAAAAAACTCAAAAATAACAACAATGATCTGAGAACAATCAATAACTCCTAGGTATGAGCTAGGAGCCCGATCCGTTCCCTAGATAATTCTTCAGTGTGGTCGTTTTCCTAGGTTTTCATGTCAGTTACCCTGCTAGGGTATCTTATTTGATCTGTTCCAATGCACAGAAGCAGTTTAGTGAGGAATGAACAAAGAAGTCCCTGCATATTCCAATCGCGCAGAGGACCAGGAAATACGGCTGTGCAGAGTGAATACACCACTCTGTAAAAAGCCAGCAGCTTCCTTCTTGTCCCTCCCTCTCTTTGATCACCACAGCTCAAACATGGAAGTTCCCCCAAGGAAGCAAAGCCAATGCTGAGCAGAGTTTTGTTTTTCAACTGGAGTTACAACGTGCTCTGTCACGCGCCACCACCCAACAGCTGAGCTTTATATGAGCTTTTAGCATGGGTCATACTGTTCTCGGAGCGTAACACACGAAGATCTCATAATGAGAAGTCTGAGATCTTCATTTCTTTGAATCATTTCTAAAGTTCTTTTCTTACAGATCATGTCTAACCTTAAAACAGTCTCATCCCATGGTCCAAGGGCAAACGATCATCTCGATTCTACTAAGGAAGAAGCAGGGTCAAAACGGCGGCTGAAGGCACAGCCACTGTGATGCCTTCCATCTCCCATCAACCCTCACTCACTGCTCATAACACAGATGGTGTGGTGAGATGGGTACAGAGCAGACTGGGGGACACTGGAGGTCAGCTGGAGCAGGAAAGGAAGGCCCCGGGCGAGGGAGAGATGAGAGGCCATCCCAGGTAGAGGGACAGCAGGTCCATAGGGAGGGAGCAGCAGGGGATGCTCTTCTACCTGTCAGCTTGCAATGTAGCGACCACCACACGCAGCAGAGCAGAACAAATGCCTGGCCCGGCTCCTGATCTCAGTGGTGATTCTGCCACTGAGATCAATTAAGACCAATTTGTGCCGGGCGGTGGTGGCGCACGCCTTTGATCCCAGCACTGGGAGGCAGAGGCAGGCGGATCTCTGTGAGTTTGAGGCCAGCCTGGTCTCCAAAGTGAGTTCCAGGAGAGGTGCAAAGCTACACAGAGAAACCCTGTCTTGAAAACAAACAAACAAACAAAAAGACCAGTTTCTTCTGTTCATACAGCTTTGAAGATTAACTAAGATGGTTACGAAGAGGAACTTCTTCACAACAGAAGCAAAAGTAGAAAAAAAAAAGGAGTTTCAAGGGTGGGAGGAATGTCTGAGACATTTAACAACATGGACAACTCTTAAAAATCAAAGGAAATTCTGCCTAACTGAGGCAGGCTCAGATTTTGTAATCAAACAGCAAGATGTAAAGCTAAGGGTGAAGGAAGCAGAAAGCCACTGAGAATGTGGCTTGAGAACCTTCAGAGTGCGTTAGGCATGAGGTTGGGAGTGTATTGATCTAATCACGTGTAAATACTTGTTGGGTGTCTACAAAGGGCTGAGAATATTCTGGACATGGGCGAGGCGCCACTCCAATGCAGGTTTTGTTTTAGTAAGAAGTGGGTGATAGGCTGGGCTGGGGTGGCCCACGCCTTTAATTCCAGCACTCAGGAGGCAGAGCCAGGCGGGCAAATCTTTCTGTGAGTTCGAGGTCAGACTGGTCTACAAAACAAGTTCCAGGAAAGGCGCAAAGCTACACAGAGAAACCCTGTCTCGAAAAACCAAAAAAAAAGAAGAAGTGGGTGATAAACAGCTAACCATCAGATGCTGAAAGTGTCATGGAGAGACACCAATCCAGTACTGGTTCATCACGGGCTGGGAGGGCCAGTGTCAGGAGGACCTTAGGGGCGAGGCTTTGACAGAGACCCACGGAGATAGAGAAGAGAGACCTTTAAGAAGCATGAGTTGAAACAAAATGACCTTTCAGATCTGATTCTCAAATCTCCCAGGCAGCACTCACTGTTCCAGATGTTGTCCACACTCACATGGGTGGTACAGGAAACCCTCCATTATCTGATTCGCTCTGTGTGCTGTTTTCTCTGTCCAGGTCACAGTTGTTCTCAACCTGTGAGTTGTAACCCCTTTGGCAAACTTCTGTCTCCAAAAATATTTATATTATGATTCACAACAGTAGCAAAATTACAGTTATGAAATAGTAACAAAATAATTTTATGCTTGAGGAGCTGTACTAAAGGGTCATAGCATTAGGAAGGTTGAGAAACCACTGGCCCAGGATGTCCTTCCTCATCTTGACCTCTGAGAAACTCCTACTCACCACTCAAAATTCAAGGAAGCATCACTTCCTGAGACCTCACCCTGCCCGTCTATGCAGAGGCCAGCATTTTTGCGTTCATTTCCTACAGTGCATTGGGCATGGCTTCAGGACTTAACGTGTGTAGCTAGAGTTTTCCTGCCTGGCCCACAGTCAGGACAAATCTGTCACCTGCCAGTCCCACAGCCGCTCAGACTCAACCAAGTAAACACAGAGACTTATATTGGTTACAAACTGTAGGGCCACAGCAGACTTCTTGCTAACTGTTCTTACAGCTTAAATTAATCCATTTCTACAAATCTATACCTTGCCACGTGGCTCGTGGCTTACCGGCATCTTCACATGCTTCTTGTCATGGCGGCAGCTGGCAGTGTCTCCTTCCGCCTTCCTGTTCTCTCAATTCTCCTCTCTGTTAGTCCCACCTATACTTCCTGCCTGGCCACTGGCCAATCAGTGTTTTATTTATTGACCAATCAGAGCAACAGATTTGACATACAGACCATTGTCATTGTCATTGCTTGTCTGGCTTTTTTCCCCTTTAGATTGTTTAGCCCAGGACTAGAGAGAACGATACCTCAGCTCTACTGGGGTCTTATTCTGCTTTGCCAACATGTCAGCCAACTTGGAACAGAACAAACCTAGTACAGTGCCATCCTGTGCTGGGTGACACCAGGACTCCAACTCTAATCCAAGCAAAGACCACTCATGAGTAGAGAGGAATAAAACATCTTGTTTTGCTCAGACTGGCCGGTGATTGGAGCCGATTGGAAGGAGACCAGGGACAGGTGAGTCAGATGAGTGAGTGGATGCCCAGGCAGCCCAAAGTCCATGGATTGAATGAAAGTGGAGAGGTTTAAGAGACCCTGAGAGGCAGACTACAGGGTACGGTGGCTGGCTAGAATGCATGCCTGAAGAAAGGACTGTCTGGCGGTGTGTGTGTGCACAGTCAGGAACGGTAGTGGTGGTAGTGCATGGTATACTTCCCAAGTCCCAGGAAGAACATGGAAGTCCAGGAAGTCCAGGGTCTCTGCTGCCTGCAGGGAAGAAGAAGTTTGTCAGGTGAAGAAAGCCCACTGTGAGGCTGAGAGCGCTCAGATCCCATCACTGGTCCTCATACCGAGGTGAGTTTGCCCCGTATGTCATCCCCACCTCTGTACAGGCCATTTACACAAAGGCAAGGTTTAAGGTGCAGGCTGGATATTTCTCATCCCAAATGCTTGGGACCAGACGTGACTCCATCCAGACACTTTTTGGATAGTGAAGTATTCATTCTCTCTCTCTCTCTCTCTCTCTCTCTCACACACACACACACACACACACACACACACACACACACACTGAGGTCTCTTGGGAATGGGACCCACATCTATACACAGAATTTGTGTGTCACTCACATCTCACAACCAGAGCTGAAAGGCAATCATATACAACAGATGCAACACACCTGCAGTGAGGCTATGGCTCATCTCATAAGGTCAGAGTTTTTAACTATTAAAATAAATACTAAACATAGTATGTGACAAGTATGAAACATCAATACACCTATTAAACAGTTTAATAATAAAATATAAAGGTGAAATATGAAATAAAATCTTTTAATTATTTAAATATTTTATTTTTAATTTGCTCAAGAATAGTACAGTCAGGCCAAACAGCAGCAGCATGCTGCTGAATTTGATGCATCCAGCAGCACAGTAGTGTGTCTACATCAGTGTCATCACAGATATGCTAGCCTCATCAGGTCCATGACAGCACACGGTGACAGGTACCTGTCAGCTCCGTGTCACTCTGTACCACAGACCTGTGCAGTCTATTTTGATGCTTCATGTGGTGTTTACTGGAAATTCAGATCATTATGTTTAGCTTTACCAAAGGGAAGTGAAATGTGTTATCATGTCCATTCACTTAAGAAGCATTATAAACTGTGTCCTTTGCCTTACAGAAGCTTTTCAGTTTTGGTAGGTCCCATTTATTAATTGTTGATCGCAGTGTCTGTGCTACTGGTGTTATATTCGGGAAGTGATCTCCTGTGCCAATGCTCTTAAGACTACTTCCCACTTTCTCTTCTATCAGGTTCAGAGTAACTGTATTTATGTTGAGATTTCTGATCCACTTGGACGAGTTTTGTGCATGGCGATAGATATGGATCTATTTGCATTCTTCTACATGTCGACATGCAGTTATGCCAGCACTATTTGTTAAAGATACTTTCTTTTTTCCATTGTATAATTTTGGCTTCTTTGTCAAAAAACAGGTGTTCATGGGTGTATGGGTTAATGTCAGGGTCTTCATTTCGATTCCATTGGTCCACATGTCTGTTTTATGCCAATACCTGGAGTCCAGTTGAAGAGACGGGGAGAGCTTATATAAGCAAGGGTGGTCAAGATCATGATGGGGAAACCCACAGAGACAGCTGACCAGAGCTTGTGGGAGCTCACAGACTCTGGACTGACAGCTAGGGAGCCTGCATGGGACCGACCTAAGCTCTCTGTGGGTGACAGTTGTGTAGCATGGTCTGTTTGTGGGGCTCCTAGCAGTGGGACCAGGATCTGTCCCTGGCACATGAGCTGGCTTTTTGGAACCTGTTCCCTATGATGGGATGCCTCGCTCAGCCTTGATGCAGGGGAGAGGAGCTTAGTCCTGCCTCAACTAGATACGCCATGATTTGTTGACTCCCATGGGAGGCCTTACCCTTCCTGCGGAGTGGAGGAGGGTGGTAGAAAGGACATGGGGGGAGGGAACGGGCAGAGAGGAGGAAGGGGAAACTGTGGTTGGTATGTAAAATAATTTTTTTAATTTAATAATAAAAACCAAAGTGACATTATCAATGAAAACAAAAAAGCATTATAAAGCATATACTATCTACGGAACATCAAAACAAAGATATAAAAGGCAAGCACTCTAATGACCAAATCCAGTGAATAGAATAACAGGTAAGGAAACTGAGATCCACAGATGCCAACAATGTTATGTATTGGTAAGGGCTTCTCGGAGGAGGTAGTGTTTAGTAGATATTTAAATGTTAGTGCAGACAGCTGTGGAAGAGACTGGGCAGTCCAAAACCTCAAACACAAAGGCACCTAGGCAGTGCTGGGAGGCAGCTCAGGGCTAGAGCCCAGGCCTAGACATGGACTTGACTCCAGCACTGCATGAAAGCATGGGCATCCCACCCTCTACACACACACACACACACACACACACACACACACACACACACACACAGGTCTTTATGTATGCTTTGGTGAGGCTGTTTTAGACAGTCTCACTTTGCAGCTAGGCTGGCCTGGAACTCCTAATATAAGCTGTCCTTGAAATTGTGACAACCCAGTCTTAGCCTCCCAAGAGCTGGGGTTACAGGCACAAGCCACCACAGTGGGCTCTCTTTTCCATTCATCGTTCTGATCTGTATTCTTCTTCCTTCCTTTTCTTTGCTCCTGTGGTTTTAGTTCTTATTATTCTATTTGCTGCCCTTTCTTAGCATCTCAGTTATATGTCTTTATTTTCCTCAGTGGTGGCCTTAAAGTCAGCTTTGCATCCAGTACAAGTCTACGTTCAGTTCAACTGTCCCACAGCAGCCAGATGTCTCCTAACCACACAATGAGCCTACCTGCTCCCCCCCAGCCCTGACACACTGCTCCCCCCAGCCCTGACACACTGCTCCCCCCCAGCCCTGACACACTGCTCCCTCCCAGCCCTGACACATTGTTCTCACCCATTCTATGTACACATACGTCCACATGAAATATCCATCTTGGTTCTGGAGGTATGATGTTCTTTGCAAACTCACCTCCCTGGGCTCTAGAGCAGTTTTTGACCTTTCAGTGTTTCTGTTTTTTACTTGTTAGGATGGAGTGAGAACTTGTTTGTTCCTTGCATACTGAGCAGGACCCAGAAGTCCCCACACTATTGTTTGGGTTTTTTCCCAACATGATATTTTTATTTACTATTTCAGAATTTTATATAATACACCCCAGTCACACTCGATTCCCATTCCACCCTGGTCCACCCTCCCACCCTAGCGCCCCCCCCAAAAAAAAATATAAAAGAAAGAACAAAACAAAACAAAAAACCACCGAGTCCGATTTGTGTAGCCCATATACTAACTGGAGCACGGTCAAACTCCCAGCGGTCCACACCATTGTTTTTACAGAACGTAACACAAATGACGGTCAGCTGGGCTTCACAGAACTGAAAGGCAAGAGGGAACCCGAACTCAGGGTGCCACACAGGCAGCAAGCGCAGGATTCAGACCCTCCCCTGCACAGGGAACGTGTGGAAGGAGTCAAAATTACCGGAAGCTGAATACTTGAAGGAGGGACCCCAGGAACAAGAAGCCTCTGAGTAGGGTGGGTCACTCTAAGGAAGAGGCACTAGCCACTGAAACTGACCAGATTAGACAAAGAAAACTGTGGCTATGAAGCCAATTTGCAAATGTTTTCAAGGGACACCCGCCCCTCCACCTCACACCCCTCCACCACCCACCCCTCCACCTCCCAGCCCTCCACCACCCACCCCTCCACCACCCACCCCTCCACCTCCCACCCCTCCACCACCCACCCCTCCACCTCCCAGCCCTCCACCACCCAGCCCTCCACCACCCACTCCTCCACCACCCACCCCTCCACCTCCCCACCCCTCCACCTCCCACCCTAGCTTCCATCCTGACTACCAGGACAAATGGTTCTTGAGGATGCTGGAAGGACTATGGCCCCTTTTCCTCCTTCAGCCTTCCTCTAGCACCCCCTGCTGGCAGAGCCTACCTGGGAGAAACTAAAGGCTGGTTTGAAGCTGGTAGGCAGTAGTTTAATAGTTGACAGGATCTGTCGCTTTGAAACGAGAAACAGGGTCTGAAGACACGGCTCAATGGGTAAAATGCTCACCGTGCAAGCATGAGAACTTGATGTCAGATCCCTGGACCTGTGTAAAAACCAGCAAGACTGGCCTCTAACTCACAGCGATCCTCTTAGGTCTGCATTATGTGTGACTGTTGGGATAAAGGCGTGTGCCCCCTCGCCTAGGAGCTGTACAAGTCTATAATCCTAGTTCTGGGGGAGGGAGGGAGGCAGAGGCAGGATGATCCCTGAGGCTTGCTCGCCAGCCAGCTAGCTGGACTAGTGGGCTCCAGGTTCAGTGAGGGCAATGCTGTGTCCAAAACTAAAGTAGAAAGCAATGGAGAAAGACACTTGTCACTTGATATTCATACCCATGTGGCTGTGCTCCTATATACATAGGAGCATGCACATGCATGTGCACACACACGCTCACACACACACACACATACACACACACCACAATGGAATTACTAGAAATGATACTGAATTTGTAAGCAGTAACATGTCATAAAATACTTTCTACAAATGCTATCCAGAGAACCTGAAGTCTCCTATATTTATTTTTTATCTGAATTACTATAGTTACCGATATGGCTGTAAGCCCAGTAACTAAATGCTGCCCCCCATGAGACCCAGGAAGTATCTCGTTATCACATTCCATTACACACCCCATAAACTTCACTCAAGCAACTGAGTGTCTGTTATCCACCACCCACCACTCCATGCCCTGGAGTCTTAGCTGTGTGATTTGAGAATGGCTAAGCTGGAAATTCCTCAGAGTAGGGCAGTTTGGAACATTTCACTCCAGAGAAACTTAAATAAAACACAGATGTTCCCTGGCCAGTGACTAGACCTCTGATCCTCCCAACACTATCCAAGTCTCCTGCTCCATATTGCTTCTTATCACGTATATCCACTGTTGTGCTGATCCTTAAAGCGGTTTGTGGGGAAAATGTGGAGAAATAATACATCTGCAGCAACAGTGACTGGAGAGAAGGCTCTGCAGCTTAGGGCACTTGTTGCTCTTGCAGAGGACCCACAATTGATTCCCAGTACCCATGTAGTGGCTCACAACCATCCATAAGTCCAGTTCCCCAGATCTGACACCCTCTTCTGACCTCTGAAATGGGTGCACATACATACATACAGGCAAAATGTTCATGCATATAAAATAGTATATACATATATGTACATATCAAAGTAAAGCAGACAAAGTTCTGAGAGATGAGTCTATCTGTATCTCCATATGAGGCTATGCCAATCAGCACTCATTCCCAAAGCCTCCCATTCAAGATTTTGAAAGCCCACCATACCAGGATTAACCCCTATTTGAACTAGCTTATCAGATTGGTTGGTTTTCCTTCATTAACAAATTCAACAACTACATCATACTGTCCCCAACCTGGGGAAGCAGATCACCTGTAGAACTCTGCTTACTGCACCCAACCAACTCAACCACTTCTTGTGATGAAGCACAGATAAAATCTGATTGCCTGCAGCTCCAAGGGCAAACTGAGGTTGAAGGGACTCTGGCCAATGTCCACCAAGAAAATATGAGATGCTGTGAATGATAGCCTGATACAAAGATCTATCAAGATGACATCCTTCACCATGAAATAGCAGGAAAATATATCTACTTATTAATATATGCTCATGCAGATTCATATATGTAGATTAATCTAAGCTAGAACTTTCCTTAAGTGCCATGGCTTCTGAGATGCACATAGAAGCCTGTAGGCCTTCCTTCAGGGGTTCACTTCCAGTCCCCAGACCTGCCATGCTGAGACTGCAGCTTTGGTCCAAATGCCTTGCTCAGCTTCACGGGCCCTTCAGGGAAACGCTCACTGTAGCAGAAGTTACGTTTTCTCTTGAGCTGGGGATCTTGCTGTTGCTCTCACTGCAAACTCACCAACACACAGGCGTGCACACTCAGGTGTGCACACACACACATACACACATGCACACACATGCACACACGCACACACGCATGCACACGCATGCACACACACACGCACACACACACAGGATGCAGAGCTAGAATTGCCCTTGCAGATTTCCACATACTGTGATTGGCATGTGCAAGAGGAAGAAGAGGGTCCCACTGCTCTCCTCCTCCCCACCCCTGTGCCCTCACCGTTCCCCTGTAAGCCTACGTGGCACTTCATAAACAGAAGAGATGGCTGTATAACAAGGAAGACCAGAGGCAAGAAGGGAAACCACATCAGACTCACGCCTCTGTTGATGGAAACGGAGTTCAGAGCACCCGATCCACACAGGGAAGATCTCATTAGGTAGTAAGGATACAAACTGGAATACGGCATCATCAGCATGGTGAATGACTTCATCACCCTCCATCCCTGGCTGCGGCCCACAGATCAGTGGGAACCAGAAAAGCTTCTTGGGAAGTTCACAGCCTTTCATCTCAGAAATTTCAAAAACCCTTTGTTAACACTCATTAGACCAACCCCTTCCCAGTCGGTGGGAAAGTCAACACTGGCAGTGAACTGCTCCCCTCTCCCAGCCCAGACTCACACAATAGTCTCTGTGCGGCAGGGTCTGGGGACATAATTGATTATTTTGCTGTTCTCAATTACTTCTTTTATCCAGCCCTTAAGGAGCTAGCTGGGCATGCCCTTCATGAGAACTCTTCTACGAGGCTGCCGGATGGCTTTGTCCCCAAGGGCTGCAGGATAATCACTAGGTGAGATGGTTCAGAGAGAGTGGGTGAGATTGGCACAGGGGCTCTGGCCTCCATCCTCACAGCTGAAGAAGTATCAGTCCCACCATCCTTCCAAGTCAAGAGCCTGAGCTTTCTGTGTCATCTCATTACGCCTCTCAAGTTCCCCCTGGGGCAGAAAGACTGAGTGTAGACCTTTGCCATATGATAACTATGTGACCTTGGAAAAGAGCACCATGAAGGCTCCATTTCCTCACCTCCAAATGATAGTAACAATCACAAAGCTGCTGTGTGAAACACCCATGTAGAACCTCAGAAAACACACAGAAAGTATCTAATAAATGTTAACAGATATTCACACTTCCCACAACCCAATGAAGCTTGAGGCCATGAAGACTCAGAGATAAAGTCATTTACCAGGGTCATGAGCTATGCAGAACCCAAGTTCCATGGAGCTGTGTCTACCCTGCATTACGTCACATACAAAAGAATGGGTGAGTAAGGATGTACGGGAGGGAGATCTGGCTGTGACATAGGTCACCATGATTGTCAGGGTTGATTCAGCTAGTCTGGCTACTGAGGTATGAGTCCTCTTCCTCCTTCAGTCACCAATATGTGGGCATCCGTCCCAAAGCAGCTCCCTGGCTGCTCTCGCCCAGAACACTGGTCCCGTTCTCAGCACCTGCATAGTGGCTCACAACTGTCTGTCACTTCAGTTCCAGGAACTCTAAAACACCCTCTTCTGGCCTTGAAGAGCACCAGGCATGCATGTGGTGCTCTTACATGCATGCAGGCAAATGCTCATATTCATGAAAATAAAAAATAAATCTTAAAAAGAATGGATGATAAGCCAGATGTGGTAACACACACCTGTAATCCCAGTGCTTGAAAGGTAGAGAAAAGGAGGATCAGGGTTTCAAGGCCGTTCTGTCTCAAAATAAATAAATAGGTAGATATTTTTAAAAAGTTATTGCACATAGCCTGGGGCTCGTGGCCACCATCTGAACCCAGCCAGGGCACAGGTGTCTCCACAGAGGAATGAACGGTGAGCAACACAGAGGCGAAGTCAACCCTCGTGTGTAACAGTGTCGGAGGAGCGGTAAGCAAAGAGAAGTGTCGCTCTGAAACACTGATTCACACTTTCGTTCAAGCGAGAAAACTGAGGTTCTGAGAGGTTAGGTGACCTGCATGGAGCTGCAGGGCTACTGAGTAGTAGAGCCAGGACTAAACTCCAAGCCTCCTGGGACCAGAGTCTCGACAAGATGCTGTTGCAGGTGTCACGGCAGTAGCTCATAGTCAACCCTCTGCTAACTCTCTTCTGGGTCCGAAGCTGCAGAGCACATTCTTGCCTCAACTGGAGGGAAAGGAAGCAGCTGACTTGGGATACCCCACCCCCATGCCAGCTCCCTGACAAGTGTTTCGTAGACACCCATCTCATCAGCTCATCTCTGGGAGGAAAGCTCGCTTAGCAGAGAAGGAAACAGGGTTTCGAAGCACAGCTCCCAGTGCAGCACGGGAGTGGGATGAGCTCAGGCCATTGTGGGAAGAAACACATTTAAAATACCATTTTATGGTCAGATTTGAAACTGTTCTCAAACTATCTCAAAGAAAATAAGTGGCATCTGCTGCCGGAAGTAGCATCCTGAACACTCAAGAGGAGTCAGGAGCTGCCAGAGCTA